CCTCGCTACCCTCGTAAATCCGCTTTTGGCGTGCACTAAGGGCGCCCTCGAGGGCGCGAAGTTATTCGCGCTTCGCGCTTCGCGGTTCGGCTCCGATTCCTCCTCACCCTCCTCTTCTCTCCTGGGAGGCGGCGCGAGAGCGCGAAGCTATTCGTACTTCGCGCTTCGCGCAGCGCGAAGCGCGAAGTTGGGAGCCCTTGAATGCACTCGCGTCGATCGGCGTCGGGGAATCGAGGGGATGGCGCCGAGCTGGCTGCAGAGGGAGGGGGAAGGCGTCGACCCCCGCTGGCCCCACGCCTCGGCTGGCGGAGGCCTGCGGTCAGCCCGCACAGCAGGGAGGAGCAGCTTTCCAAGGCTACCCCTTCTCCTCCTCCTCCTCCTCCTCCTCCTTCTCTCCTCCTCTCCTCCTCCTCCTCCTCCTCCTCCTCCTCCTCCTCTCTCCTCCTCCCCCTCCTCCTCCTCCTCCTCCTCCTCCTCCTCCTCCTCCTCCTCCGCTTCCAGCTGCTCCCTCCCCCTCTCTCCTCCCCGCGGCCTCCCCGCCGCGGCTTCCGTGCGACGCACTTCCCGGGCGCCCCGTCCGGGCCCGCGCGCCGCTGCGGGAATCCGCGTGTGGCAGGGCCCCGCCGCCCCGCTGGCCCTTCGGCCCATCCTTAGCGACGGTCGCTGGCCAGCCTCGTTCGAAAAACGTGAACATGGCCTTCCAAGGCCATTGCATCCTTGCCGCGCATCCTTATGTCATACGGGCTGACCGTATCGCCGATCTGGCGGCGACGCACTCGGCGATCTGTCTGCCCCCCGCCCTCCTCCGGCTCCACTCCTGCCCACCGCCCTCCGAGCCCGCGGCCCCTGCGACAGGATGCTGCTGCCCTCCTGTCGGGCGCTCCTCCTCCCGCTCCTGCCGCGGCTCCGGCGGCAAGCCATCTGGGGGCCGTCTCGGCGGAGTGCTGTCGTGGCCGCCTGCCGCTGCTTGCTGTTCTCGGAGCCACTTGCCGCTCGTCTGCGCCCTGATCCCAGCGTTGTCCGTAGTCGATGACATCGGTCTCTGGCTTCACCTTCCGCCGAGCTGTTCCCAACTCCGAGGCAGGAATTTATACATGACCACCGCCTGAGGGTCAGTTTTCGGAGCCTCGGCAAGCGGTGGATATGGACATATTCGGGCCCCCGGGGGCCGAAAGATCCGCAGTTCTCGCACGAGGTGATCCTGGCGTCGTGGCCGATGATGCCGGCCCGTGCCTTCTCGCGTTTCGCGCACGAGCTGCTCTCAGCGTTGTTGCCGAGGATTGCGAAGGCCTTACGGCCAGCGCCGCCGACCCTGAAGGGTGGCGACGACGACGGCGACGACGAGGGCGACGACGACGACGAAGACGACGACGACGACGTCGACGACGGCGACGACGGTGACGACGGCGACGAGGGCGACGACGACGACGACGGCGACGACGACGACGACGTCGACGGCGACGACGGCGACGACGGCGACGACGGCGACGACGATGACAACGACGGCGGCGGCGGCAACGACGACGACGACGCTGACGTGGGCCAGAGTCCTCAGGGATGCTTCTTGGGGTCTCTTCGGAAGTCTTTCGGGGGACTGGTGAGGAATTTTGGGGCCTCTTGGGAGCCTCTTGGGATCCTCTTGGGAGCCTCCTGAGGGGCCCTCATCTGACATCCTATCCCTCCCTCCCATCCCTTCCCATGGCGGTGAGTTTTCCCTATCCGCGGACGCGTGTTCTAGCCGAATTGCCAATCCAACAGAAAGACAAAGTTGTGTGATGCGCAATCGGAAAAAAGGGGGCTGCGTGCACAGGATGATGATGATGATGATGATGATGATGATGATGATGCTGCTGATGATGATGATGATGCTGATGCTGATGCTGATGCTGATGCTGATGCTGATGATGATGATGATGATGCTGCTGATGCTGCTGATGCTGATGATGGTGATGGTGATGGTGATGGTGATGCTGAGAATTAGGATGATGATGGCTACGATGATGATGGCTATGACGATGATGATTTTGATGATGGTGATCATGATGATGATGATCACGATGATGATGATCGTGGTGATGATGGTGGTGGTGATGATGATGATTCTAATGATGGTGACGATGATGATACTGATGATGATGATGGTGATGGTGATGGTAATGGTGATTATGACGATGGTGATGGTGGTGGTGATGATGATGATGATGATGATGGTGATGGTAATGGTGATTATGACGATGGTGATGGTGGTGGTGGTGATAATGATGATTATGATGAAGATGATGAGTATGATGATGATTTTGTAGATGCTGAGTATGATGATGGTGGTGATGATGATTATGATGATAATTGTAATGGTGATGGTGATAATGCTGATGATGATGATTATGATTATGATGGTGGTGGTGATGCTGATGATGATTATGATGATGGTAATGGTGATGGTGATGATGATGATGATGCTGATGATGCTGATGATGATGATGATGATGGTGGTGGTTGTGGTGGTGGTGGTGATGGTGATGGTGATGATGATGCTGATGCTGATGCTGATCATGATGATGCTGATGATGATGAGGAGGAGGAGGCGGAGGAGGAGGAGGAGGAGGAGGTGGTGGTGGTGGCGGGTGAGAAGGAGTTTGAGCGGGCGGAAAAGGATCAGGACGAACAGCAGCAGCAGGACTTAAAGCGGAAAGATCAGGAGGAAAACGAGGACCAGGGGAAGGCGGAGGAGGGGAAATAAGGTGGGCGACAACAATGAAGAAAACATCGGATTCTGAAAGGTTGTCCGCACTGGGGCGAAACGATCAGCAGCAGCAGCAGCAGGAAGTGGAGTGGAAGGAGCGGGAGGAGGCGGAGAACCAGGGGACGGCGGAGGAGAGGAAATGAGCGGAGGGACTAGAATGAAACAAGACTCGGATCTAGCGACGTGGCCCGCGCTGGGGTGGGAGCGCCATTCTGAACGACGGGAGCAAGCGCCGATTCGAGAATGAGGCCCACGCTGCAGCGTGAGCACCACTTTGAAACACCGAAAACCATGGGATTGCAAAACACAATAAGAATGCAACTTCTGACATCCTGCGTGTAAGAAAAAGCACGCGGAGGGGGCGGGAAATCTTCCAGACAACTTCAAGGGAGGAGGGAGGGAGCGGGGAGGAGGGAGGAGGGAGGAGTGAGGAGGGAGGAGGGAGGAGGGAGGAGGGAGAAGGGAGAAGGGAGGGAGGAGGGAGAGGGAGGAGGGAGAAGGGGAGGAGGGAGAAGGGAGGAGGGAGAATAGAGGAGGGAGGGGGGCGGGAGGGAGGGAGGAGGCAGGGAAATGCCCCCGTTCTCTGCCCGACCAGCGGCCCGCCGAGGACGGCAGCCGCCGGAGCGTCGGCTCCTCCGTCGAGCTTGGCGAGGCCGCGCCACAGCAGGCGCCGCCCCCCAAGGACGGCGCGGACGTGGGCGCCTTGTGACGGACCGCCCCCCAGGGTCCTTTCCTCCCTCGTCGTCGTCGTGGTTCCTCGTCCTCCTCCTCCTCCTCCTCCTCCTCCTGCTCCTCCTCTTCCTCCTCCTCCTCCTCCTCCTCATCCTGCTCCTGCTCCTGCTCCTGCTCCTGCAAGATGCGCCACCAGCCGACGGAGGGGTTTGTTGACCAGCTGTCCAGGGGGGAATCCTCCGGTCCTAGCTGGGCGTTTAAAGCGTTTGTGGCAGGGAAGACACCCCACCAGGAATCAGAGCTTCGGAGGCCTCGGATTGCCCAGGACAGGCCTGGGACGAAGGGCGCCTCCGTTTTCGAGCGTAGTCGCCTCGCCCTCGGCCGATTCGACTATACGTTGCGAGCGAATCCTCAGCGAATCCTCAGCGAATCCTCCTCCTCCTCCTCCTCCTCCTCCTCCTCCTCGGCGCCGCGGCGCCCCAGGCGCGACGGCCGTATAGGAGATCGGCCACGGCTGGGCCCCCTCCGGGGTGTTCGGCGCCGCTTGGTGGGGGGCTCGCCCGCCTCCTCCCCCCTGCAGGAGTGGAAGGGGGAAGCAGGGGGAGGAAGGGAGGAGCAGGAGCAGGAGCAGGGGGAGGAAGGGCGGAGGAGGAGGAGGAGGAGGGAGAAGGAGGAGGAGGAGGAGGGAGGAGGAGGAGGAGGAGGAGGCGGAGGAGCAGGAGGAGGAGGAGGAGGAGGCGGAAAACGAGGAGGAGGAGGAGGAGCAGGAGGAGGAGGAAGTGGATCAGTGTAAACCCAAGACTCATCAACGATGTTACACTGAACCTTCCCTCCAAGCTCCCTCTTCATGGGCCCCATCGAAGGATTCATTTCCACTAAGGGAAGTGCCCCGTTGGGAGACAACCGTTTGAAGACCCTGAAGCGTGCCAAAACACCATCCTGGGGACCCCAACGCCACGAATCAACGTGATGATTGCGTCTTGGTGGTCCTGGGATTTCATCACTGTGACTCCACTTAACTGCTGCGCCCTGACAATCCTGAATCGCTGGAAAACGCCATTCCTGGTACCCTGACCATGGGAATCCGCGAAACGTTTGCAAATGTTTAAAAGAAATGTGCACGGCGCTAGGGCGAGAGCCACATTTTGTAAACGAGCCGCCCTCAATCCGTGAAACTTCTGCAACTTTCTGAAGACGAATGTGCATGGCGCTTCGGCGACAGCCACATTTTGAAAACCACCCTCCCTCCATCCGTCAATCTCTTGCAGTTGTTCTAACACGAATTATGTGCGCGACGCTAAGGCGACAGGCACATTTGGAAAACCAGCCGCCCTCCATCCGTGAAGGTCTTACAACTTGTTAAGACGGATGTGCGCGGCGCTAAGGCGACAGCCACATTTTGCAAATGGCCCGCCCTCAATCCAATCCGTAAAGCTCTTGCAACGTTTTAACACGAATGTGCGCAGCGCTAAGGCGAGAGCCACATTGCGAAAACGACCCGCCTTCAATCTATGAAAGTTCTTGAACATCTAGAAAACGAATGCGCGCGGCGCTGAGGCTAGAACCACCTCTTGAAACCACCCGCCCTCCATCTGCGAAGCTGTTGCCAATGTTGTAAGTTTCAGGGTCATAATGTGTGAGGAAGTCTCAGGCGAAACGCCCGGCCCGCCCTTTCGACAGCCCTCGGGGCGCGACAGGAAGAAAAAAAATTTATGGACAAGGAATGGAGGAGGGTGAAAGGATGAGGAGGAGGAGGAGGAGGAGGCGGAGGAGGAGGAAGAGCAGGAGGAGGTGGAGGGAGGACGGAGGTGGAGCAGGCCCCCGCGGACGAGAGGGAGAGTGGGGCCAGCGGGAGGGGGGTGACTTGTCTGCCGCCGCGGCCTACTTTTCCTTCTGGTGCCGCGCGGGCACCGGCCGAGGTCCCGTCGGCGGCCGTCGGCGGCTGCCAATCGGCTGCCGCCCGGAATTCACAGAGGCACCTCGGCACGGCAGAGCCGTCGCCGTGCCGCAGCGCCGCTGCGCCGCTGCCAAGGCTGGGGCGCCGCCCTCGCGGCGCCTCCTCCTCCTCCTCC